GGTCTTAAGGAACCCGAGACACCGGTGAGTATCTCCGCATACCTATATTATACCATCCGGGGTGCTAAGGACCCCGAAGCACCAGTCACTATCTCTACGTACCGCCCTGATATCATACTGGGGTCTTAAGGAACCCGAAACACCGGTGAGTATCTCCGTATACCTATATTATACCATCCGGGGTGCTAAGGACCCCGAAGCACCAGTCACTATCTCTACGTACCGCCCTGATATCATACTGGGGTCTTAAGGAACCCGAAACACCGGTGAGTATCTCCGTATACCTATATTATACCATCCGGGGTGCTAAGGACCCCGAAGCACCAGTCACTATCTCTACGTACCGCCCTGATATCATATTGGGGTCTTGAGGAACCCCAAACACCGGTGAGTATCTCCGCATATCCATATTATACCATCCGGGGTGCTAAGGACCCCGAACCACCGATGAGACTCTTTGCTTACCGAATCTACTGCATTTGGGGTGTCTGGGACCCCGGAGCGCCTGCGATACTGTTTCCATACCGACAGTTTGGTATTTGGGGTTTCAAGGACCCCAAAGCAAGTAGCGAAATATAAGAACGAAAAACAAACAAATCGTGAAACTTTCTTGTTCGGAATAGTGATGGGTTTAAGCGGATTTAGCGAAATATAAGAACGGAAAACGAACAAATCGTGAAACTTACTTGTTCGAAATAGTGATGGGTTTGAGCGGATCTAGCGAAATATAAGAACGGAAAACGAACAAATCGTGATACTCACTTGTTCGGAATAGTGATGGGTTTGAGCGGATCTAGCGAAATATAAGAACGGAAAACGAACAAATCGTGAAACTTACTTGTTCGGAATAGTGATGGGTTTGACCAGATGTAGCGAAATATTAGAACGAAAAACGAACAAATCGTGAAACTGACTTGTTCGGGATAGTGATGGGTACAACCGAATCTAGCGAAATATAAGATCTACATAAACAAATTAATTAGTGAATGCAGGATAGTGATGGATTTGACCGGAAATAGAGAAATTTTAAACGTAGAAAGCAAACAAATCGCGAAATAGCAATAGCAAGTGAAAGATTAGACCTAGAAAGAGTATAAAACGTTGAAAATAGGAAATATAAGAATATTTCTCAACTCATTTCCACTTCCCTGTCACCTGGGTATACTTGAAAACCTAACAGAAAATATAATATGATACTTACATGTGTTTATATATTGACATTATGGTATACGGGGTGTCAGGGACCCCTTTGCGCCGTTGATTCTCTCTGCATATCGATATGTCATCCTGGGATGTCAGGGACCCCGAAACACTAATGGTGCACTGTGCGTGGGGTATCTGGGACCCCTATACGCTGCTGCGGACCGACTTTATTTCATCCTGGGGTATCTGGGACCCCGCTATACCGGCGGCGCAGCAGTATAATGTAATGTAATGGGTGCAGGGATACAAGGATATAAGGGATGTAGTATATTTTCGTGAAATGTGCCAAAATATTCTATTTTTAAATCACTTCTATTAATTAATTTATATTTTTGTAAAATAATTCATCCTGTTGCTATCATTTCGATGTATATGCAACTACTTTGTTGAATAATATCTAACGATGACAGATCCTAACCTATCTCGGGACTTCTTGTACATATGTCAAAATGGATACTTACCGAAAGTGCAGGCACTTGTGTCGAAGCATAAACTGCAAGATTGGACCATCTTCCGGTATTCGGCTTCCGGTGATACTGCATTGCACGTCGCTGCGCGGGTGGGTCATTTGAATATTGTTCGATACCTATGCGAATCTTTCGAGAAACCTAATTTCAGAATCGATGTTGCCAACAAAGATATGAAAAGACCACTGCACGAAGCGGCTCAATTTTCCAACGACGAAGTTTTAAAATATTTAATTAATAAGGGTGCAACTGTAGATTCCTTAAAACGGGCTGATTGGACTCCTCTCATGTTGGCCTGTACGAAAACTGGAAGTGAGGCGCACGAATGCATCGCTGCGTTCTTGAACGCAAAAGCTAATCAATCTTTGAAAAATAAAGACGGCTGGACGTCGTTGCACATGGTTTGTCGTTCTGGAGATGAAACTGCATTCGATTTATTGGTGAATAAATCTATTAAATGTATCAATGATCGAAGCAATAATGGACGCAGCGCTCTGCACATTGCTGGTAATATATTTTTATGTTTTAAATTATTAATTAAGCTCTATGGTTTTAATACTTAAGTTCCTATGATTTTCTAGCGTTCCATGGTCACGAGCGTTTAATTGACCGACTGATGAAGCTAAATGCAAATTTATTAAACGCGCGAGATTCGTCAGGATCTACTCCTCTTCATGAAGCAACCAAAGGAAGTCATCTAACTGTAGTAAAGAAACTTATAAAATTAGGAGCAAATGTAAGAGCTACGGATAACGTTGGTCAAACTATTTTACACGTGGCTGCATTGGCTGGAAATACGGAAATTGTTAGATATATTTTAGAAAATGATTTAATCGATAAACACGCGGAGGCGTTGTTTAATGTAACACCTTTAATTGCGGCTCGAAGGAGCAATCAATTAGACGCTATCGAATGTTTAATGCAACATGGAGCTGTAACTTAAATGATCTTATAATTATTTTTATTGGAAATATTCAGAATAATAAAGACGAGCCACATTTTTTATTCAGAGATTGGTACACATTTATTTATCCTTTGTTCCTGTATCAGACAGTCTTAAAGAAGCATACAAAAATGAAGAAACGGAGGCTCTTAGTAGATCGGAGATACCTAGATATTACAATTCTTCTTGTTCGTTTGTGTTCTTCCTTCTTCATCTTCACGTCTTGTCTTCTGTTTTGTTCGTTCTTCGGTCTTCCACTTCAGTTTCAACTTGTTAAGCGTGCGCAGGCAGGCAAGGCAGGCAGGCAGGCGATGATTCACGGGAGACTTATGCGCTTGTTACGTGCTAAAACGTGTTGTCCGCGTTGATTACCTTTCGTATTAAATATCACTTACAAACAGAGAACATAAACGGTAAGATCACAGAAATCTTTACGAATTCTATATGTGTGAATCGCGCGACGCGACGGTACCTTTGCGATAATTTTCCCTGCTTCTTCGTGTCTCTTTGGGTGATTACGGTTTAGAAAAAAAGCCGATTCGAAAAATATTCCGATACTTTCAACGGGTGAAATGGATGGATAGGAGAGATGGTAGGAGACTTGAGATGATGCTGTTGCTGTTTACATGAAATTATTGATTCTCTGCGATCGATTCAACGTTATTCCTTATCTGACTCGTTAATCTGTACCGATCTTTTTTTTTTTTTTCATTGCAAGCAAAATGAACGAATTTATTCGCTAAGTATCTCGAAGGACGATTGTGATTGGTTCGAAGATGCATTTAGCTGCATGCAAAAGAGAAAAGGGTGGAAAAAAGTAAAGAGACTGGTGTACTCGATCAGAGAGAAGATCAACTTTTGCGGCTGTTTCGTCGCGTGAAAGAGGAGAAGATAAGGTGTAAGGAGGTAGGAGAGGAAGAAGGATATTCATATTTTATAAAACGGCTAAGGATAAAACATGCACTGTGAATATTTGTTCGTTCAATTAACGTCGCACATTACCATCATACGCTTTTCTCTATTCGGTTCTCGAATTTCTGTCGTTCCCTTTCGATATTCCTCTCCTCTCTCCTAACATTCCTCTCATAATGATAGCCTAAATTCACAAGTACTCGATTCCATGTATTTACATTCCCTCGTTACTCTCGTCCGAATCTATACCGTTCATCTCCATCGTTACCTTTCTTTAGTGGAGTTCATTTATAAATATCCAATGATTACTTGGGCTCTCTCATTTAATAGGTTTTTTTTTTTTGTTTCTTTTACTTCCTCGCTTAATTTATTTACACATTAACTAATTACGCTTGGGACTTAAGTTAAACCGCCTCACGCATTCGCCATCACGATAATAGTCACTGTAATATCCACTACTTACTAGTAACTTGTCTTACCTAGTGTATTCTTTTCTGTTTTCTCACATCGATCCTCTCGGTCGCCTCCCTCTCTCTCTCTCATCATGCACACGATGCTCTCTTTCTCTCTGTTCACACGTCTTTTTCATTTTCCATTTACATTACAACGTGTTCAACATGTACAAAGCCCTATTTACATTATGTACACCTCGCTTCGAGAGTTTCCCGACGATAACGCTCTCTCCTCCTCTTTCACACGCAACAACCCTTTCAAAGTGACGTGACAATGACGACAGTGTCCTCTTATCTTCGATGGCCCGCCGGTTACGCCGTTATCGATGCTAAGAAACCAAACTGAAGGAGCAGTAAGGAAGGTAAAGGAAGGAGGGGGAAAAAAAAATAAAGAAGAAAGAATACGCGAAATCGTAAATCGATTGCCTACTCACAGAGGTGTGCTTAGGAAGTCGTCCCTGATCTACTTGGCTCGTGCACCTTATTTAAGGGATGGAATGTGGCTGCGTTTACGATTAACATTCTGGCAATTGGTGGGCAAGATGTTGCGCTGGTACAAAAATTATATTCAACTAGATCCCCGTCGCCTCGCGGACGTCGAAACGCGTCGACACGTTTCTGAAACAAAAACGTTCGAAAAATTGAAATACGAGTTCACGGGACCGCACGTCGAACAATGGAAACCTTAACCAGTTAAAAATAACGTCGTCGCGTATCGTAACGTGTTTGTTCATGGTTTTACTTACGTGTATTGAGCGATCCGCAGGAGAGTCGCGGGTATCGGGCAGTGCGATTTGAAAGTGTTAAAATTTTTCAATCTACTACTTAAAGTAGAATAAAGTAGAACTACTCAAAGACTATTTGATGTAAACTCTTTGCAGGCTCGATACCAACTAACGTCTCTTGTATGCGTTCCTCTAATTGACCCGAAAGATACATCGCGTGTTATCGCGACGACGAAGGAATGTAAATAAACGAAAATTACCATAACGGTGTGTATGAAAGTAATAGGAAGTTATTCGATTTGACGATTTTTTATTGGTGACGTTACGCGACGATCGTGCAAGAGTTACCTGGTAGATTCGATCTACGAATAAGAAAACGAGACGGTAGAGTTTCATGGCTTGAAAAATTGTATGTACAATAGCGAGCATAGGAGGCTTCTCTAAGGAAAATAGCGGAAGGAGATTCCATTGATTGATATAATCCTTGAGAATCACCATTGAAAATTTGAATAATGTAAAAATAATTAATTGAAAGATAATAATTCTGAAAATTCTAAATTTGAAAAAACTAATTATTGCTGTCTTTTTAAATAAAAATTATGATATTTTCTGTTAACTAAAATAAGCCTAAATTGCACGAGACTGTACATACACGTTTTCCTTCTACCTTTAACATCCTGGACAGAAACGGCTTCCAGATGTGTTTGTTCTCCATATCTAACGCTTGTGCGGAGGGTCTAAAGAAACCAGGATAACCGCGAACGGGTTAGCGCGATGCCAGACTGAGCAATAACGTTTCTTTTACAAGTCGGAGGAAACGTTCGCACGCTTATCAATAGCTGGTACCCTTAACGCTGATTATCGCTATTTATAATTCGCCTATAGATTTAGTCGCCTTAACGTACAACGGTTTGCCGGAGAGAAGGATCACGGCCGGCCCGGCTGAGCAGAGAAATAAATTAAACGGAGAAACGATGTAGAAAGTTGTTGTCACATCGTGAAAAAGATTATGTTGAATGAATTCACTGCGTTCGCATGATCTCTGGGAACGTGAACACACAACGATCTTGTCGAAAGAAGAAAAATTTGGCAGGCATTTTGTCTCGTATGGAACCACAGTTTCCGTAGGAGTAACATGATTAAAAAGAAAATGATTTAGTCTTACCGTAGTTAATTGATCCAACATAACTTTCTCCAATTACATCGATTCGAGAAGAATATCGAGCTACAATGGCGTCTGGTGTAGTCGATATCCGTCTGTCAAGGATCATCTTGCAAGCATAAAATTTCGTCACCAGACTCGCGACGATCCGATGGCGGCGATCAATGGATCCGTTTGATCGAACCTGTCGCTCGTACGATCGCGCATCATCGATCGTCGACCTCGACACGTCCGCTAATTACACATTAGATAACACTCACGGATGATAAAAAATAAATAGCGCGCGGGTTTCCTTAGTTACACATTAGATTACGCGGTTACGACATATACCTTTTTTGTTCTTTAAAAAATAGTAAAAAACAGTGACTAAGTTTTTTTTGCTTTTTCCACGTCGCTCGGAAAATCGCTTTGTATCACTATATATTTATATATATACTTGTTTCGTACAACTCTTTCGCCCATTCGTTCTTCTCGGGTTTTCTTTATGTATATATATATATAATATCGTTACTGTATACATACATATACATTTATATATATATAATTTTTTTTATTTATAAAAATAACATTCTGGGACTAAAACGTAACGTTCCAAAGCAATGTACAGTGAGGAGCTGGCTAGGACGACCGATAAAGATACTTTTAGCCGTGAATTTTGTTGCCTTCCTTTGGAAGGAATTTTTAATCATCGAAACGCACGAAATGGACACACGTTCCTATATTCTTTTTTTAGAATTTACCCCACGAAATTGTTGCCATTCGAGAAACGTAGATTTTAGAAGCGATTATTTCTATGATGCGATCGCTAATATAAACACGATACTCGTTAATCGAAATAAGCGATTAAGTAACTTTACTTTCTTCCCTACGCTTTGGAGCGAGATTTAATATCGATCAGCGATACGCGATATGTCACTGAACGCTGTCCACCGTTCGATGAAATGCAAGACCTTTGACAGGTAAACACCAGCTCCAGATTCCTTTATCGAGTCGTCACCGATTCCGTTCGGGAATCAAAATCGAATTCTCGTCGATCGTTAACGAGCGAACGATTTCCTCAACAAAATCCCCAACGTCGATCTCGATATGTCTTCTAAATTTCACTTCGTCCACTTCGCTCAGTATCGTGGCTCGTTAACGAGAAAAGATTGGATCGACGAGATCATCGAGGAATATCCTTCCTCGACTTCGACGCTCGCGAGGACAAGTTTCGAGGAAAGTCGAAGACAAACGAGAAGATCGTATTCGAGAACGCAGGGAAATAGTTTATCCGAAAGTTACGATCCTTACGTTTGCCTGTTTCCCGGTGTACATGAAATACTCCTTGAAACCTATCGCATCCGATGTTCTCCTAGCGGATCTTAGCAACCTAAGAGGACTCGTCACGTTTTATCGTTCCTCGCACGACATCATATCCGCCATTCGATGAGCCAATCCCAGAGGCGCGCGCATGGCTTTCGACGGTACAACGACGACTGATTACTTTAACAGGAGGTCCGCTTAATTGATTCTATATCGTACAGAACTCGATCCTCCGCGTTTAATCATACATACACGCATCGACGCACACAGACAGTCGCACGAATCCAACTCGGGACGACAGATACGTCCTTTGGCGGTGGACATCCGCCGCACTCGCAGCCTCGTGCACGCGATCCCCGAAGAAACGGAAAGAAAGAAAGAAGAAGGCCCTTCCATGGCCGGGCCCGGTTTATCGTTATGGCTAAGAGAAACGCGGCGGCCTCGAACGGGTCGTCGAGTAGCCGCTGTTTCGTTTGAGCTAAGAACGCGTCGGTCCCGTTCACCCGGACCATCCGGATGAACAGAGCGAGTCTGAGACGCATCGGTGCTCCGGAATCGTGGCTCTCTTCAGGAACGAACCACCGTGGTCGGTACAAGGGACCGCGATCGATCTTCTCGATCCGTGACACGACTCCTTGATCCGCGAACGACGCGTTTCTTCGACGCGTCGACCAGCACAACGCGACGATTCGACAGCGAGCAGGAGCGCATCGGTCGTCCTCGTGCAGGAAGACGAAGAGGACGACAAGATGAAATGAGACGTCCTAACACTCGCTGTAGGAAGGTGGTGGCATACCACGGCCGGTGTACATGTCCGTCTGAGGCTGCAGGTGACAGACGACCGTGTGCCCGTCGAGAACCGCGACCGTCCTCGTGTGATCCTGTTGAGGGGGTATCCCGTAGGTGGCGGGCAGACGGGGCAACTCACCGCGCTCGTACCAGGCTTGCTGCTGCTTCCGCAGCTTCTCCCAGCAAGTGTTCAGGGTCCTTTCCACCGCGGGACTGTACTCGTTCGCGTCACAATGAATGTTACCGCCACCGCCACGCTCCGTCAGCGTCTGACCGTAATGCACCAGGTTCCTGTCGGTGGCTGGCGAATACGGTATCAATGGTCTGTGATCGCCGTAACTCCTGGACGACTGTCTGCTCATGTCGCTTTGCCTTCTGCCGTCTTCGTCGGACATGTCCGACACCTGGATCTCCCCACCACCACCGACGCCACCTCGTTCTATCTCCTCGTAAACTGGCTCGTCCTCGTTCGTCAGCTCCCGCGGAATATGCACGTGTTGACCGTGATGAGCGTGCATCTGATGATGTCCAGGTCCGTTCGCACGACCGTCAAGGATCTCCGTATACTTGTGCTTCGGGATCCTCCTACCGCTACTGCTGCCGATGGTTCTGTTACCGATGATCTCGTTGCTCTCGTTCATCACCCTTGCCCCACGGTTCCGCCCGGAATGGCCCAGGGTCAAAGTGTTGTGCGTCCTGGGCGACTCCTCTTGCTCGGAGCCGCCGTGTCCGGAGTCGCGGGAGTACGATTTAAAAGAAATGTTCTGCGGAAAGACAGATTCGTTCAGCGATTTTTCGATGGATGCGTTTCGGGGGGAACATAAAATGTGTGTACGGTTTGATACATGAGGGATTTGGATGATCTGTGATTACGCGAACGAAGATTTTTCCGATGCCTTGCTTCAAATAGGATAAATTATAGTAAATGCGAAATGATATCCGAATTTTGGAAATGCTACGTCTTCGTTCGCGCGGCTCCTACGAATCAAAAGATGGGATATCGAGTCTCAACGAGGATCGTTATGGTGAACTCGAAAATGTTTCACAAAATCCACGAGCTCGCATGCATGGTCGATGAGACGAGTGAGAAGATTCCGTACGTGCTGTGTATGATATGTACAAGGACTATGATCATCGACACATTCATGGTTTCATTCTTTCACTACTAATCGAAAACGTAAAACACACAGAGCGAGCTACGCGTTTCATACGAAACGAAAGACGTCTACCATTAACGAACTGAACTCGATCTCGTGTTTCTTCAGTGTATATACTCTACAATTTATCGTGAAAATCGGAGCAATTTCAAAATCTTTGACCACAGGACTTCAAAAAAAAAAAAAATCGTGGCTCCGAAATAAAACAAACGATCACGTAGGAATTGAAAAGAGGGAATAAGGGAAGACCCAAGCTCTTGATAGGACGGACATTAGTAATCGGGAACATTTTCCCCACACCTCCATGCTGAATCGAAACGTTGGTCCTGTCAAAAATCACGAGGTGTTTTCTAAGTGTGCATAATGTGTCTCTAGGTGCTTGTTTAGTAAAATGAAAAACAAAAAATAAGAATAATCATGGCACACCATGCAGTGAATAGAGAAACAATCGCAGTAAAGAGAAAAAAAATAAGACAGTTCGTTCGAGACAATACACGACAGGACACGACACGAGCGAGCTACCGAGTGAGAGTCTTAGCTGCAGGTGAGTTAGTTACCTTCCACATGAGGTTTTTGTTAAGGTGGCCCCAAGTGGCGGTGGCAGATTTGGGGATATTAGGAGCTGAGGGTAAGAAGGCGTGACGGGCGTACGGCAGCGTGGCCACGATGTGAGCCTCTGTTGGAGAGGATTCACTTGGCACTGCTACTGCCGGCTGCCTGTCGACTATCGCCCAGCTTCGACCGGACGCCAGGTACTGTAAAAATCGAACCATTCGTCGTTTCCTCTCAACCCTCCGTTTACTGATTTCGTAGCGAAATAAGAAATGATTGAGTCGTTAGATGTTGTGTGCAGAGATGAAAATTCGCGACTATGTCGTCTCACTAATTTCTCGTCTCTGAGAGGATAAATGATTCCGAACACCCGCCCTTTGAAACTAACGAGTTCTAAATTATCATTATCTTCTGTTCAGGGGAAAGTTCTATTAGGTACAATACCAAGCACGTAGGCTTATCGAGTTACCAGTAAACAAAGGGTTACCCGAGTCTCACGAAGCCCTGGACAAATCACCTTGCTCCACATCTCCATCTCTACTCAATCTCATTCCAGTGTACATTATCAAACGTTTCGCAGTTATCTCATCACCGAAGCCTGTTCTTTTAACATAATCGTCTTCGTCGTTGATTATTCCACCGACACAAAGAGCCCTGGTTCTCGTCGCGAATGGAAGATTACTTTGATGCAGCGTTAGACTGTTTAAAAGAGGACCTCCGGCCCCGTGACCTTTTGGGAAATGACACGAACACGAAAGATAGGGAGGAAGGGAAATCCGATGATATCGCGCGGAGCTGTGATGCTCGCCGGAAGCGTGGCGGATTTAACTCGTACACGAGCGAATCTACGATGTAACGGGCTGAGATACGCGGTGTCAGCACGCACACCTCGGCCACCTTCGCGTCCATCGCCGTGTGTGTTTGTCCTGGACGAACGATACGCGATTGCACCGCTTTTCCGGGCGTACGTGGACGGGTCACGCGAACCCCACTTCCGGTCGATACGTAGCCAAGATTTTTCCAACCGTTTTCCTACGCTTGGAACGGTGAAGCAAGTTACGTACTTCCGCAGAGAATTTTCTAGCGCAAGAATTAATTTTGACTGCTTTATGATCTGTCCAAGAGCCATCTAGTTAAGATTCTTTTATCATGCAAATACAGATTGTTGAAAAATTTAATTGTAAACTTAATATGAAATTAGTATTGGACTCTAATAAAATTGGTACGAAAAATGATTGACTTGTACTACTAGTTTTTGTACCCTTTAACCTGATTTCGCAAATCTTCCATAGTCTGTTCACTTCAAGAACATTAAATCTTTACTTTCTATTCTAAATAATCAGGCTGCAGTGGAGCAAGGTAAGATGCATCAGAGATCGTCACACGAGAGGAACGAGTCTTCCTCGTATTCGTACTGTCTTCAATAAGGTTTTGTGTAGCTGACACGCAACCGTGCCGAGACTGGGTCATTTGTTTCAGAAAAAAAAAAACAGCGTAATACCGATCGCAACAGGACAATCTTTCCTGTTAGTTCCATATCTAATTATAATTTTTACGCTCGTGATTGAACAGCGAGATGCGTTTCGAAGTTCAAACGCGAGCTGGACTCGTTAGAAACTCCGATGATCCGTATTACCCTATCTCACCTCTTGTCGAGTGTGCACCCGGTGTTAATTAGCGAGACGCACGGAATGAGGAGAGAGAAAAAAAAAATAGGAAAAAAAAAATACGTCCATGTGAAGGTGTAGGTGTGTGGAAAGCGAAGGTGGTGAACGAGCGTGTGTATGCTGCGGAGGAGGTGTGAGAGAGACAAGAGGGATCGCTTGATCGCGGATCTTTCTCGTCTCTGTGATTTTTTCCCCTGTCCTCGTGGTCGAGTGACCGGTCGTCGTGTTAAAAAACACCCCGAACGCGTGTTGAAGACGTGCGTTTGTCAGGCTGTGAACCGAATCAAGTAAATCAATCGGAGAGCGCAGAAAAATTTGAAACTCAGTTGGAAAAATGAAATTATTGAAAGTAGAAAACTTGTACGCTCTTCGATTGAACGATTGCTCGACAACAAGCGACTTAAAGATATTTTAAAATTACGTGGGCAGAATTCGAAGCTTGTCTCTTAGTGATATGCGAAGAATTGTTTCATTTATTTTAAGGATCTATATAGCACGTATTCTGCCCACGCGTTCAACATTCGCTCGTACATTACGAATCTTTCGGAATACTTTCTTCGTGATCCAGACAAATTTTCTTGGAACTTCTTCAACTAGTGATTGCGAGTTACCGGTCGGCTCGCGCATCAGTGCCTCGACAATAAAAAGGAGTCGATAAGCGACAAACAGGTTTGCGAACAAGCCACAGATAACTTGCTAGAACAGATGCTACCGGTTGGAATGTAGGAGCTGGCCTTTCTAAAGCTTTGCGATAGAAATTGCTGACATTTTAGTAAGTTATGTTCTGAGTGCCCGATTTTAATGCTTAACACATTGACCGTCATAATAAAAATAGCCATGCTTAATAGAGTCAAAATGATATTAATATTTCATAATTAAGAATATTAATTCTTAACGTTAATTATTCCTATCGTCTCTCTAGCGATTAATGTGTTAAACAACTGGTCACGATTATTTACAATTAACGATATTATTAAATTGAATATGATAAATTAATTACAGATATCAAACAGCCAGCTAGTGGAGAGAAAATGAGGACACAGGTTGGAAAGTGTTTCTCGAGCGGAGGTCAGCCATCAGAGGCGCAACTGCGAAGCCGATTGTAAATCATCGATGTTACAGATTCGTTACGTGTCTCGTGCGCGTGCCATTAGCGTTTCATTAACGATCCGGAACATCTGAAATAAATGGCGAGCACAAGCGAGGCTCGCTGCGACGAATATCGCGGTTCATTCGTCGAGAGGGGAATGTGGGAAGGGAAGAGGGTACAAAGTAGCCAGCAACCGCGTTACACCAAACCCAGAGCCAGATAAGAAGCACGAAAATCACCATTGTTAGTAGGAGGTCTTGCAAATAGTACTTTCGCGTGTTTACAGGTGTGCAAAATCGAGCGAGAGAGCGTGCTTGTATTTTTTCCCCCTGTGCTTTCGTAGTGACAAACACTTTATCATTTCGTTGCTCTTTTCTTTGACGGTAAACAGAGATCTCCCCTTTGAAAGAGAGAGGGAAATAATTGATTCTTGTGCTTGAAACATGAATTTTTCTACAGTTATGTGGTACTTTGAATATTTTCAAAAAGGGGTACAATGCAATTACATAATCGTCCTGTAACGTCATTCGTCATTTCCAGCTGGAGAACACAGCTCGAGCCGCAAGTAATCTCTACTAAATCCGATAAATTCGCTGAACAATTGGCAATAAATTTTTTGCAGAAAACACAATGGCACGCGATTAGCTAGGGGGTGGAGTTATCGTTTTATCTACCAGCGAGTATCGTTGTTTTATCATACGAATTTGCGGCACGACCACGTTCAATAATTTCTCTCTTTTCCCCTCTCTCTTTCGCCTTTTTTTTTATTTCTGTTCATTCAAACCAACCACCCTTGTACGTCGTATTCTCTCACTCTTATTCAACCCCTAATCTCAATCCCCTAATTTTCTCTCTTTCTCTCTCTCTCTCTCTGTTCTCTCTAAATTCTCTTCACAACGAACGCGATAGGGTCGAAAGAGTCGAACGGTTCGTTAAATGCCTTTTTTAGCCTGTCTCGCTCCAGAGCTAGCTTTTCGAGGCGGCGAAGCGATTCTCGGCGACGTTAAAAAAAGTGTTTCTGGCACGCGTCGCTTTCGAGCGGAACCGCGCGACTAGGAGGGTCGAGGACACCCACTTCACAATTTATCCTGCAACAGACTTGGGGTAACACATTAAAAAAAGAAGAAGAAAGAGAGAAGAAGGAAGGAAGGAGGGCGTAGCTTCGAAGATGACAGGGAGACTCGGTCGAATTAGCATACACGAGCGAACAGAGAGCCAAGGGTGGCGGTGACAGTGGTTAAGACGCTTAACTAGGCGGATGGGGCATTTGAATCCCTCGATTTTCTCTGATATTTCCTTTAGATGTTAAACTGGGGAAAATTTGTTGCCTGCGAAATTCTATGAGATCTTAGAAGAAACCGTTGCGAGGAAAAAACTGAAGAACAGAGTGCATGGATTATAAGATATTATAAGAACTCTTGAACAACCCTGACAGTGTGGGGTTAAATCGAAAAGGTTCACGTGGCAACTGCAACGGAAACCACTGTTCCTAATCAGCTGGATGATCGTGCAACGAGCTTGGAAACACGAGTTCACGTTGGAATCGCAGTCGATCTGCGGACGAAGGAATTCGTCTACGATAAAAGTACAAGTACCTCCGCGGTATCAACTAGGGTGACGTTCGTGGAACGAGTGACAGAACGGCGGTGAAGGGAGTGTGCGTTATTAATTCCAGTACCATTAATCATACTTGCGTTACTGGCAGAAACAAGCGATAGAGGGGGAGAAAAAAAAATAGTGGAGTAATAGAGAGCGAGCAGAGTACAATACACAGCTAGAGCCATACAGCGGCAGGAATAATAGAGTGAGAGAGAGAGAGAGAGGGAGAGAGAGACCTATTTTTGTTCATCTTCGTGATTTTCAAAAAACAAAAAGAAAATATATTCCCTCTTTAAATCGTACGTATATTTTTGTATCCCTCGCGACAGACACAGCTGTCAGACTGGTCGTTGATAACTGTCAAAAGAAATTCGTTTCTCGGTTTGGTGTAAAAGCGGCTATCGGATACCTTGCTGAGCGGGATGCCTATTGTGGTTGCTAGGTGCCATCATGTGCATCTGGTGTGCCCCGACCGGCGACCTCAGCGACAAATTGTTCAGGTTCACGTTTATCGAAAGATTCGTATTGTTACAGGCGGCTGTCAGGTTGTTGTGATTGTTCGGCGGTGAGGTGGTCGGTGTTGTACCCACATTGGAGGCGGCATGAGGCGACAATCCGGAACTGTCCGTCGTCGGCGCCGATGGATTCGACGAGGTGTTGTGCGAGGCGAAGTCCTTGCCGCCGTTTGCACCGCCAGCGCCGCCGCTGGTACCGGATGAACCGCCGGAGCTTCCGGTCATCGTCTTCGAGCACCTCAGGCACTTCGGTAGCCAGGAATGACGGCGCACGAACTTCCTGTATTCCTTCCTCACCTGGAATGGCAAAGCAAACCCACCCCCCGAACGAAAGGTTTTTAACGGTGCACAAAGAACCAAGGCAAGTGCGAGCGCGCGTTTCGTTTTTTTTTTTTTCTATGAAAAATATAACAAAAAATGATGAAACAGAAAATATTGATCACGATTCATTATGTATGTATGTCGAGAAACTAGGTGAACATGTTTGCGATTATACGAAGCGTTTTGGTGCTGAATTTACAGAGAAATCAAGAAAACAGCGGTGCATCCTGCAGTGGCAACCAAAGTATAAATTATGTTTATAATAAATCATAGAAACGAAAGATAACGAGCTGCAAAACATATTACAGGATCCCCGGTGATACAGCAAATAAACGTGGGTGATTTCGATTGCCACAGCACTTTATTTGAGACATCATTGGTTGTCATCGTGTACGTTTGTGTACCAGCTTGTCGCGTTATATAACATGATTAATCTCAAATCATCTTGCCTAGGTAGTTATTTGCTACTTATTTATAAATACGAAGAATCCGCTTTTCCGTACAGAGTGCATCGAATTCTTATGTTACAAGATGCTTGACTCGTGATTAATAAATGTTGCTATAAACTTACTCGATAGAAACAGTTTTACAATTTTTATATATATATTTATATAATGTATATAAAATTGCATTATTTTCGATTCGAAACACGTCACTTTTTGATATAACTCCTCGAATCGTTTCTTTCGCTTACTTTTCAGCCACCGCTACAAAATCAAAACTGTAATTTACATACAATGGAGAGCTTAACATCGTTCACCATTACGTTGTCTCAAGTTCTTCGCATTGTTTGTTTCTCATGAATACGATTTTCGATGAAAAATGGTATCGAGAAGGATGACAGAATGAACGGATGACTATGATTTTCTCGGAGTTATCTAAAAACCCGGGTAACAACAGGTCGCAGAGAATCTAAAGTAAGGTAGACGTTTGGACCCCGACGTATTCCCTTACCTTCTCGTTCTGAACGCAATGGAACACAAAGATAAACAGCCCCTGGAGACTATTCAATATGGTGAAGATGTACGCCATCACGACGGATTCTTGGTTCAAGTAGAGGAGCCCGAATGTCCAGGTGAGCCCCAGCAGAAATACCAGGACGATTGCACCTCTCAGCCATGCCCTGATTTAAGAAAAAAAAATACACAATGCTTAATAAATTATACCGTAAGCAAAGAATTCAACGAGATAATCGTGGCGATGCTTAAAGGAACGTGAACGAGTGATGTAACGTTACACGAACCCATTCAGAAGACAAACCTACTTTAAAATAATAAATTATGAAAAATGATGGAAAATATTTTTCGAAATATATCAATTATTATTCAGTTTGTTTTCCGAGCAGCTCGTACGAGGGTGGATAAAGTGATAGTAAAACAGAGAGACAAAAGATCGAATAAAATAAAAACAGGGGGTCAAAAAGGAAATGATCTCTTAGTCTCGTGCCATCGAAAGAATTAAGGGGTAACGTGCTAAATGATCGATGATGGTGTGACTTTAATTCTAATAATTCCAATGCTACATTTGTCACGTTCTTATCGAAATGGAGCGGCGAGAACACGTAAGATTATCAAGGGGACGGTGTTATGCACCGAAGTGCACGCAACATTTCGAGCTACGCGATGCTAACGTGTACTAATGTTGCTCGTTTCTAAATGTGTGCACGTGATGCGAACACGCTCGAACAAAGCATTAGCAACGTTAATGTTCTCGCGAGACTCGAAAGCGGTTACAGGTCCTATAAGCATCGCACACACGCTATACGTTTCTCGTTTTCTTATTCCTCTTCTTCATCATTTTTTTCCTCTAATTTTTTTTTTTTCTTTAATTCTATTCAAAAGTATCTCGACTACAGGCTACAGGAGATTCTAGGATACACAGGGACACGAATTACCCAAGGTGGAGGCAGGTGTTTATTACTATCTGGCGTACTGTCTAAGCTACTCTCAAATCAGGCGTAACACCCGAAACTAAAGGATAAATACGGCATGCGGTTTGAATTGTCGTGTGTACTCAGAGGAAATGCAAACAGCGTGACGTATGTAACTAAAGGAGTTCAGAGAGCATCGATCCACGGGCCACGTGTGCTTTCTTGTCAAGCGTTTCACCTTTAAAGACACCCCGCTACGTAAGCAGCTTGACAATTGCAAATTATTCAAGCTTATTTTTTCTTTTTGAACGAAAAATAATAATGATGATTGCGGTTCCAATGAGTCGCACGATCCAGTGATACACAGTACCGGATAAATGAATTTTCCTTGAATATCGAGCAAAGTAAACTTCCTTTCGCAAAATTTTATTTTAATAATTCATCTAAATTCATTTGTCCAGTACTGTAAGAAAATTATTAACGATCAGCGTGTTTCGCGAGACAGAATCACCACTACATTCTACGTTCTACATTCGCAGAAACTAACAGATATAAATGATCGATAGCTTTAAATGGAAACAGAAGAAACAGAAATGTGAGACGGTGAAAAGAAAAAGACACGGGAACGGATATTAGTAACATGATTGTTAATGACGAATGATTGAGAGATGAATGATAATAATAATAATAATAATAAAAATTGGTAAATATCTTACAAGTGCGCTTGCAATTTGTTGGGAAGAGCATTCTCTTCCTTTCCACTACCAACCAACCACGCCATGCAGAAGAATGTAGAACAGTGTAGACAGAAGTGGGTAGAAGATTTAATACAAAAAATGAAACAAGACAGCAAAGTTAGGTGATTGTTCCGGCACCATTTAAAAATTAATTGATTATTAAAAAAAAAATAAAAAATAAACAATACTTCATAGTTTTCGCTGTTGCAACACTCGATTCGTATTACTATCCGATCATATCATTGCATTAGTACACAAACAACGTTCAACAACATTTAATTACTCTCTTACTATTAAACATGGGCCAAAAAAAAGGTGAATAAAAAATGCAATACCCAAAAAAAGGAGATAAAAATAAAAACAGAGATACAGGGCGACGATTATCACGATAAAGCAGTCTCGATAATAATTCGAGTCGAGTTTGCAAAAGAATTTAACTACCATCACCAATATTTTCGCACCGAGATTTATCAAGTTAATGCCGTATCGTTATTCTCTTCGTTCGACGTATATGTATTTCAAACTGGTTTCGTTAAAATGAGAAAAAGCACATGTTAATTATTACTGTGCTCGTTCGATTGTCGCTACATCCGAAATCTCTCGTTCAAGTATGACTCGAGAGTGACCGGGATTCCGTAATCACGTGTATGCGCGTTAACGAGCGTTACCAAATCATAAATACATGTATATATATATAAATATTGATATATAGAAATATATATATGTATATTAGCAGTACAAGTGGTGTGTCGAACAAACGGAAATCTGCGATCATTCCATAACACAATAACTGAATAAAACGGAAATAATCAAATGAAAGGTACTCAGCATGGCCGGCAAAAAGATGCGTGAACAATAAAAGACTCTCTTTCGGGAGATCTCTTTAAGCAAGTAAAAGCTTGCGAACGTGAATCGAAAGCACCAAAACAAACACTTCGATTCTACTCGACGACAGGATCGTATCTCGAACTGTGTTTATTTAACGGATGGACTCGATCGAATTACTTCAATATAGAAATATACATAATGTATATGTATATACAGATTCATTATTACGCTCCATGTATGCTCAGGAGAAACGCGGATTTTCTAAGCTTACCTTGCACTGGCCAATCGCGAGTGCTCCTTACTCTTCATCGCTATGGTGGTGTTTGCGTGCCGGCACATCATGTAAATCGCCATCGACAAGAATACTAAATTTGCCTGACAAAAAAAGAATATGGGCTACTTAGACCTATGTCGTTTTATAAAAGCAAGATTGATTGACCTTTGTGATTATCGAGCGATCTTACCAGTATAACGAGTATCACAGGTCCAACGAAGCTGAAGATGAAGTAGTTGTCCGCTCTAAGCCAGCAATATCGATCGGTACCGTAACTAAGGGGATCGATTATGCAGGAGATAGCTACGACCAGCAACGGTGCACCGTAAGCGACTAAATAATACCAGCGGAGCCTTGATTTTTCCGCTTCGAACACCTCGATTAGCATCACGTATAATTGGAATCCTGTATGGAGAAAATTGGAAAGGAATTACACCCTTTTCCTTCTTTCTATCGCGAAATCATTCGATAAATCATGGTATCCGAGCTGTGTACAGTTGGTCGAATGATTACAGTTAAAAGCTTCGGGAGAAATACCTTCGAGGAACATCCAGGCGAACGCGCAGAGGAAGAAGAAGTGCAGCAATCCGGCGACTATACCGCAGACAATTCTCTGGTTCGTTTGTCCGATCCCGCAAACGAATAAAATTTCCGCGATCAGCAGGCACACGCAGAGATTCTTGTGGATGGTTGTACGATCCGACTGGAAACGAAACGATGAACCGTTCATCAGTAGGCATTCGATCGATTTCATATCAGCCGTGTTACGAACCGCGCGGAAATCGAGGGATTACCTTTAGTCCGCGAAATAATTGAAACGTCAGAATCGCTAGAACGAGGCAGACCACGGAAATGATGCAACCGATATAGGTGATGATTTGCAACGCCACTTGATGAGCGATGTCCAGTCTGACAGCGTGAACGTCCATTAGAACGGCGAAATTCGTTAGATGGTTGCACTCGCATACCGTGTGAGTCTCGTTGGTTTTCCGTATCTCGCAACCCTCTTCCGACCATGCGCTGAAAAATCAAATAGAAGGTTAATAGAATATTATAACTAATCCTCGATTGATTGCGATTCACTGTAAAGGAGATTGGTATCGTCAAAGTTACCTCAGAATGTAGTCCCAGAAGACGCAGGTCGGATTGGTGACATTCTCAATGGACAGATGCTTGAAGTAGACTCGGACAGGTTCGCTGAGCTGTATGTGCCTTCCTTTGCCCAAAGACGCGGAGATCACTTTGCTGTTCAGCAGCCTGGTCGTATTCCTCTTCGGCAGTGGTTGTGGCTCGTCGTTCATCACCAACGACGATACCTCGGCTTGCGGCTGCAGGATCTCCTCCAGTCTGTCAAAGGCCATGAAAACCAGACGGACAATGCCACCCTCGCTGTTCTCCAGCAAAGCACCCCTGGTCAGCTCGACGCGATCGTTTGAGGCTGTCCATCTCTGTTGAGCAGCTTCGGTCGGGAACACTTCGAGATCGTCGCCGATATTCCGGGCGTCCAGCACGCGTACTTCCATCACTGTTGTAGAAGAAATGAAATAGTAACGTTTTCATTTTTAACTTACCCACCATCTCGTAAGAAAGTTATTACTATGCTTTATAACTGAAACATAAATCTTCTTTATACAATATTTTCATCTTATCTGGAAAAAAATGGCATTCTTAAGAGGATAACGTTAATCGAATCTAGCGATCGTAAAGTTTTGCGAGCCGCTATGTCGATTCATCTTCTCGAATGAACAATAAAGTTAAACGCGCACACGTGTATCGTTCTTTCTTTTTTCCTTGTCATTCCTTTCATCATATACTCCATTCGATCAATCGTAAACGTGACGACCTCGGGTCGAGGAGAAAAATTCGACCCATGCCTGTCGATGGAAGCGAGTTTTCTGTTCGCGCAGAAGAAGGAGCCAGGGAATATTACGTTACATGGCATCCGGCCGGCTGTCGCTCATCAAACTCCTCTTCTTTTTGCCTTTTACTGTTATGCTATTTATCACGTGCGGATCTAATGTTGCTGCTACTTCATTCGACTGCGTTCGTATAACTCGCTTCCAGGCTCAATCATGGCGCGGCAACGCTACTTCCAGGAAGTAAATCAAATTGCTCGTAATTTTCCCGGGGGTTTTGTTGTGATAATGCCGGGAAGGGATAGGTAAAGCTCGGGTTACAACATTATCCAGCGACGGCAGCAGAGAATTACGATGGGTTTGGATCTTTGTTTTATCTACGCCGGATATTACTAGCGTCGCATTCTCCAGATAAGGGATCTAGATTTATGCGACCCGATGCTTAAAGTCGGCCCCGCGATATTCGCATGTCCATTGTACTAGACGCTCGCCGTTAATTTGTTAGCCTGCCACTCCTTTCTACTCATCACGGTTCCCTTCTACTACCTTCTCACGTCTATCGGGTCATCTAAATTGCTTGGAAACTAATTTTTTACCTTCAACAGTATCGCATCGTTCGATTCTAGTTCATTCGAGGAATGTTAAACGTTCTCAACCGTAGCCATATACAGGGTGACAGGTGGTTAAATCGTAGTAACATACTATCGTGCCACTTCTAAGGATGAGAAAATTGTAAGGAGGAATAATGCCCTAGAAAAATGTCGCCCTGTATATTTCTCAGTTACGCTACAAGAAAATCACATCCGTTCCAAACGTTCTATGACTTACAACAAGAGCTGCATTGTCCAATAAACGCAAATAGCGATACTCACGTATATTCCTTCCTTCATGAGTGATCGTCTTCTCGTGCATCAGCGTGTCGGCTAGCAAAAACGCGTTCTCCTCGAGCCCGATCAATAAAGAGGTCGCGACTCTCATCTGCTCCTGATGGCTGAGATCCTTCCAGGACGCCATTTGCGCCTTGTCCAACAAGTTACTGCCGGTTCTCACAACACCTTGGAGCAATTCAGTCACGCTGACCTCCCTCTGATTCGCGTCCTGGTACGTTCGTATGTCTTGTGCCATTTTCTCCGCCATGTTCTTTATAATCTTCGTGGTGATCATCATGTCGCCTCCGTACAATCCTCGGCTGTTGTTCGTCACCTGCGACAGTTCCCGGCTGATACCAAGGATGACGTCGCCCTCGGTCACCCTGTTCTCGAGGGTGGTCAGCCAGACCGAGCGACACTCGCTTAAATCTGGACTGTCTCGGTGCCAGAAGGCTGAATCCCCTCTAGCCAGGCATCTCCAGCGCGCCAAACCGTTCGCGCCACCCGGACAACTCTGAACCGCCACGTCGCCGGCTCTGGTCGTGTTCCACGACAGGTTCCTGGCTATCACCGGGGGACACACTTGTCTACCGTAGTCGTACCATTGGCCATTCGAGCTGGACTCCGGGTACAGCGTGCTCGGCACTGGAATATTTCAGTTAGTTACGAACGTTAGTTGGCCTGTTAGTTGGCTTTAGTTAATGGCACGGGCTTTAATGTGATTCTAGTGTTCGGTCCCCAGCGGGGATGAAGCTTAACGCGCAACATCGTATCGGGTCTGCGAAATGGAATTTTGGATACCCAAGGGTGCCTTAATCTTTTGCGGTGATTGTTACGAGTTCGCGAGCCACCCACCCAAGTCGAAGACTACCTTTCCCGTACGATTTATATGCAACCAGCTGGTATACATTCCTTGTTAACGCGTTAATGCGCATTTGCAATCGTATCGAACCGCTCCATAAATATATCAACACTTTCGTCGGATGAATGGAACGAAGAGAAATAATGATAACTTTAATAATAGCCAACGTGGATCGATACTATACGCAACGAAAGTGTTAATAATTGGGGATCGGATGGATTCGGTTTCGATATCCTTCCGAAACTCCTTTGGCTATCGGGTCCGTTGGAGTTCGGAAGTTCTGACAGCTGCCCTTTAAACATTAACCCTTTCGGCATGATCGTCGAGTGTAACTGACAGGCGACAAGCCCTCGCTCGGACCAACGCGTCGGCTATAATCGACGGGCGATGCTTCAAATCAGGCATGCGCATTTATTCGATAAATTTTCTTCCAACTGAATTGATCGTTAATTCAATTATTCCACGAATTTTTCATTAATCAATCAACAATAAATTGAAAATTCTTCGTTACCTTCATTTAGATCTTGACCACGATAACAAAATAAACCATACTCTTTATCAAAACAACACGAAAACCGCTGCCAATTCGAGGAAGTTTGTTCAAACACTCGAGTAACTTACCAGTGGTCCTTCGACTTGTTCTCCAAGGAGCAAAGGTCGACGTGGTTGTGGCCTGAGTGGTCTCAGGAACGACCGGAGGTACCGCAGGTCCGTTCGCAGACGGAACGTTCGCAGGAGGTATTAAGTCTTGGTCCACTTCGAGGACCTCCATATCGACCGGGGACCTCGTCGATGTGGAGCTGCAAAATGGAAGAGAGGCTTGTCAGTTTCAATGACGGTCCCCCGTGTCGAACTTCGCGATGGATCGTGAAGTAACGTCGTAACGAAAATATTTCTCCTTCGCGAAGCGTAATACAATTCCCTTTAATGGAATGTTTCGATAACCTTGTTTTTCTAGCAAGTCAGAGAATATCCTTCTGATCTTGAAAATGGTACGTGACCACTATTGGAAAATGTCAATAAAACTGAGATGTACCTGATCGATATGTTTTAAACATACGGACGCTAATTAAATAATACAAATTCCGTGAAATTTCATTGAAATGAAAAGAAAAGATGTACTGACCTTGCTGTGGTGGTTATTGGAAGCGCCGGGGTGGACGGTGCCGGCGGATGGGGTGGCTGCTGAGCTGGGGGTGTCGTAATCCTAGAGGGAGGCCTGACAGTCGGCTTAGCTGTGCTCCAAACGCTCGGCTGAGAAGTCATGAACCACGGCGGACTCGGACGGGATGTTGTCGTGGTTGTTGCTGCTGCAAGTGTATCGTCGGGCTCGTTTTAACTCGTCGAGAACGCTCTAGACGACGGTTGAAACGAATCTGGCGAACGCGAACGCGCGAAAAGGAGAGACGCCAGATTTCGGAGGGTCGCTCGAGGATCCTAAGAGCTCGTCTACGAGCTTATCGGATTCGAACGACGAGTATAATTAAGAAGGAAAGTGATTTGAGGAGCTCTATCCCAACGGAGCTCCTCATCCGACTCGAGCGACGAAGATATTTTAAACCTCCTTAAAGAAGGAGAGGGATCAATCTCTCAACAATTCTCGTCGAAACGTTTTCTCTTCTCTTATGGCTGGAAAATAGCGAACCGACAGAATTCTAATATAAATATCGATGGTTCATCGTCCTTTCACAATTTCTGATCTTTCTAAAATTTTATCACACTGTTTTAATCATTCCATTGTTCTCTTCTGTCTTAATAACGGTGCATGTTCGTGAACACGCATGCTCTCTGTCCCAGATATATCCGAAAACGGGTCACTTCTGACGTCATCCACAATCGAAGGGTATATTCTCGAGCAACCAATTGATTTTGAACAAAGAATAATTCGCTCTATTATACCACCTCCTTCATAAATTGAGCCATCGATATCAGCCGTCGTCACAAATATCAAGAAACGATATCGCGATCGATTCTTTCGCAAACGTATCCTTAAAGTTCACCACTTCCGTCCAGTCCCGTATCAGTAGACAGAAGTCTTTTACTCTTAATGTTTCAATGGCGAAAGATCGTGACGGCGCCATCAATTGCAACGGAAATACATACTTCCAAAAACGAACGTGAAAGAACGAGATTAGCCTACCTTTCGCGTTCGATATCGCGACTATATCTGGCCTAAGAGAGGAGAAAACGATCTTTAACCCAAGATGGCGACGGCAGTTAATCCCTGAGCGAGATGGTCCGCGTATTTCGCGGTATTATCTCTATAGGGGTCATCTTTATTGGCCGAAGGGGTTGGCGATAAGGTAAAATACCGGACGTCGCCGATGTCCGTTACGATAGTCGGCTATGCAGGAGGAAGACGGTTGTATGCAATGTTGTATCGAGGGAAGAGAGAAAGAGAGATACTCTCTCGCCCATGGTATCGGGGCTACCAACAGATCCAACTCCCCTTGAATATACGTCGGTGCCCCGAGACCGATCTATCGAGCCCCCTAGATATCGATCACGAGCTGGCTGAGCGTTGGAAGCCGTAAAAGGCAAACAGAGAGACCAAGGGTTTGACGGTTTATGGTCCAATAAGTGATTGTGTCGCCTGACGGTTTCGGGAGGTTGTAAAGGTAAGTGTTAACGTCGAGTAGCTTCAAGGAACTGGCTGGTACCTCGAATTCCTTGAGTGTTGGTTTGAAGAGAATTAAGCGCTTAGGCGAACAAGGTAAAATACTTGGAATTACTATTTTCCTTGAAGAGAAATGGTATTACAATTCTAAAAGAATTTCAGGCTTTCCAATCATATTTCTTTCGGAGAATTAATTAACGAGGATAATAGCGATCCCACAGTCTCTCTTATTTGCCCTCATTAGATCACGAAAGGATTTCATTACGATACGAAACACGTCAGAAAAGTTCGACGTTGGTTCATCGCGTTACCGATCCCTGCGATCGATTTCACGATTGCAGAGATCATGTCTTCGCGAACTCCTCTCTCTCTCTTCTCTCCCCGCACCGTTTGTCCGGAGAGCGCATAGCCGATGCAAGCCGCTGAAAGATCTTTATCAGGACACAGACTCGCAGTTACTTGGCCAACGCGAGTCATAAGCGCCGGCTTCGGAAAATTCTAATCGATTCTCGCGATCGACTTGACGAGCTTTTTACCCGCTGCCACCGCGATGAAAAACCGAGTATCCGATGCTTTCGCGATGGGAAAACCAGAATCTTAAAGCGTAGAGAAACGCCTCGTTGGAATGCGTGGATAAAAAGCTAATGTGTAGTTGAATCGCAGGGCAGCGAGTAAAAACGAACATCAATTTTGACAAAAAGATACAGAGCATGATTCGAACCGATAGAATATCCAGGAAGGCTACTAGGTTTTATTAAAAAATTGATTCTGCTGTAATTTACTACAAAGTAATATCCGATGGAATTTCTATAATAAAAAGTAAGATGAGTTAAATGTAAAAATATGAAAATGACAATAAAGCCGACGCCTATGGGATCGTCTGCCGGTATCTACGATCTCTGGTAGAATAAACGATACAGGGTACAGAGATATTACAAAGGGAAGATCGCGTACAAAAATGGAAGAGTCTTACTTACCGGACACGCAACGATAGTGCGCCTCGAGGTATTTGTGCGTGTTGGGACAAGGATCGCCGAATTGCAACGTGGACGCAACGATGCTGCAGTTCTGCTGGTCGTTGCACCTGGGTTCCGAACGGACAGTTAAAATGATATACGCGTACACCCTTACCAAAGTGTACCGAACCATGGATCCTGTCCCTTTTCTCTTACCGTCGTGTATAATTCAGGGGAAGGGGGTGCGCGATTCGAGAGACTTTTTCGTTGAATATTCGTACCTTTTCGTTGCTCGCCACTCAAACATTCACGCTCTTTCCAAGCAGTTTACCCAAAATTTCATTTTTTATCCTGAATATAATATATCATTAATCTTGGAAAGAACGTGAATCCGAGATGACGAGTGTATGCTCGACGAAGATATTGTATTCGTCGATCGGAAAGAAAAGTTTGCACCAACCTAGGCAAAAGTACTGCGCCTCGATGTATTTTCCGGTTCCGGGACACGGGTCCTCCTCGAAAATCTCGCTTCGCACGTCCACCGAACAGGAATTACGATAATTGCACCTGGAATCGTCACTTGAGCAACAGTCTGTCACCTCGATCGGGGACAATCGATGATTCGTGAAGATTCGATGGCGTGAGAATCAACGGTGTATCGATGAAGAATGAAAGTCAAAGTACGACGATGGAAATTTCATTAGGACGTGCCGATGACTAACAGAGTCCATAGACTATGCGTTCGCCGTTTCCAAGCGAATCTCATCATTTTCAGCACAGCTTTGAATTGATCAACTTGCGACGAGGAAAATGTTAGTAACTGGGTACACGCTGAATGTTCGCGAGATACGAGTGTTAGCAGGTGACAAGAGGACAATGGCGTTAGTAGAAACAGGGTTTTGCAACAGTTCTAGAAGCGCAGTATACGTTCGAGGTAGGACGGATAAACTGGTACTCGCGCGACGTCCATTATTTCGTGTTAATGGTCCCGCGGTGTGTATGTACAGAAACGAGTATCATGCAGAAAACTTTGTGTACCCTCGGTTCAAGCACGTTAGAGCTCCCTGAACGACATTCTTCTAACCCGCACGTTTTACACGTTTCTCAAACCCTGGCTGGAAAATTAATATACACCGGCGTCGAAAAATATATTGCACGCGCGCTGCAGAATTCGTAGCATTTTTATTTCGAGCGTACTCGACGAGGATATCGACGCGAGGAAATAGTTGATTTTCGAGAGGAATTCTACGTTACGGTCACCCTTTTACTGAACAACGCTTCAGGAGACCCTTGTTCGTTAAAAAGCACCCTATCGTTGGATTCGCGGAAGAGAACTCTTAGAGCTTCGCCTCTTACAAAGTACAATGGCACCGCGTTTCGTATTCGATCGGGGGTGCGTGAGACTCTCCGCTTCTCGCGGCTCAGGCTTTTCTACTTGTTTTCGAAGCTCCAATCACTTCAAAAGATGTTTTCGCTCGCTTCTAATCCGACGAAGTTGCGTCGTTGTCCGCGCGTATCGTCGGTCGTTTGATTTAAAGCGAACTATAATCGCCTTATCGGCGAAAGAAGCTTTCCGCCCCTCAAGACAAAATCGTTCTATTAAAGATAAATCAAATGAATTAAATACGACCCCTCTCGGACGAGCTACAAGAACGTCGAGCGTTTCTTTTAATGCTATTAGAAAAATCTCGTTGACACGTCGACACGGAAACCGAGACCGATCATCATTTATCAATTTAACGCGTTTCGAAACTCGAGGCTGGCGCTTCGTTTCCGCTCTGAATAACATAACGCAGGTGAAGGCCGTTTCGGTAAGGTGTGCGCGTAAGGTTTAATCTCGATCAGGGTCGAGCCATTAAAACGAGTGCAGGGGCCCATTGTTGGCCAGACAGCGAGGCGAGTGTTGCAGGTGTAAAGCCCACACACGACCCGTTATCTGTCCGAATGGTAGCCATTATTTCGTGGGATTAAGCGGTCCCGTGGCTCGCTGATTCTACGCGTGAAAATGTTGCCGACCGAACCACCAACCACCTTCTTCCAATCATTTCTCTTTTCCTTCCCCTATCGTACAGGATTTTTCCGGCCGCGTGAACATGTTCCGACACGACACGAACAACCAATCGAGCCACGGCAAGAACAAAAGCGAAAAATAGAAACGTTCCTTCGAGCGGGAAGGATTAATTCGCGCCGGGGACGGCAGGACAATCGATCGGCGAGGCAAAAGGGCGGAATTCCCGTTGACTTTGCAAGGGCCGCCGCGTCAATTTGTCGTGATTCGAGTGGCGTGTATCGACAGGCCAACGGGAACTTCTGGTTACTACGCGTAATTGGCCTTGCTCCCTAGATTACTATGTTACAGGGGAAGAAAGCAGCATCGAACGCGTACCTGTTATCGACAATCCGGCTCTGATTCTCTATTCCCAGCCCCGAATCGCGCGCCACCCCTTTACCCGAGGGGGCGATCGTGCCCTTTAATGTTCATCGAATACGCTTGGACAATTTCATGAGAATTAATAAAAAAATGAGAAATATGAATTTTAGTATCTTGTCTAGAATTGACGGATTGAATCTATAATTTAAATTTTGATCGGGGTTTTGGTTCGTGTCGCGATGACGTCGGCCACCCTTAGTCGGGGATCGTCCTCCCTGCACGCTCGCCAGTGAACAGAACCGAGGGTAAATGTAATTTCAGACGGATAAACTACGAGTGAACACGAAAAATCGCCATTTCGCGGATGTTGGGCCGTTCGTTATTAAGGCCTTCGGTTTCCTTTTCCTTCGCCCTCACCCACCCTCGTCCGTTCCTTTTCCATCCGATGCTTGCGTTTGCGCGATGTCTCGCGTGGGCTGGCCCGGATTTAATATGTTTCGACCGGTTCACGGCTCGCCTCGTCATTTATCCGCGCGATCACTGTTATTTTTCCGGCGAGTCGACCTTTCCCGCTACACGAACGAAGAACTTCGTGCGACCGAAAAATCTTGGAAACGCGTATTTGATCGTTACAGTGAAACGATTCGTGTAAAAAAGAAACGCGTGTAATCTATGCATGAAACTTTTGATAGATCCTGCCTTACGCTTCACAAAGAACTTGTAACTCGTTGCTGTAACTGGATTAAAATTTCAATTTTGAACCTCTATTCCTCTTTTCTATATGGCAAATGTTATTCTAGATTTTCTGATCCGTAAAGATACTTAATTTCTGAAAGGTACAGGGGTATTTGAATGAATCTGAAATCGGTCTGATTATTCACTGACTTGTTCTACTGCGAATGCTTAGGCACGAATTTCGCGAATCGTCGTTCATCTTCGCGATTTAACACCTTCAAACACGGTCGTATTTACATACCACGATATGCAAAATTTATCGTTATCATTGTACATATATTCAAGCCGCCTCTAATATTTCAAACGTCCACCAAAATGGTTAACGCGCGCCCGCGAACCCTAGATCAAATATCAGATTTTGTTGAAGAAAAATTAATGAAACCTCTTCCGAGAAATAACGCGTTGTTCGCACGGATGGAAAAAGCGAACGATATCGAACAGAATTCTTTTTTTTTTTTTTTTTTTTTCTTTAATCGGAAAGAAAAGGAAACGATTTGAAAATTAACTTCCTCGGCGTTATACAGGAGGACCATTAAAAATCACCGATTCTGATCTAACTTCTAAATAAAGCTCGGAACCTAAAGTCTTCCGCAAAAGTTTATTCAAATGATAGCTCGAAACCCGGCGTTTTTCTCCTATCTGAAATTCTGCTCGATGATTTACGATATCCTTATTTATGCACCTAGCGTTTAATAACGCCAAAGGGAACTACCATGAGGCTCGACTGTCACGCGACACCTGCGGGCTGCGCAGCACGTTTCACCGGGGAAAAAGAAACTTTTGCACGAACCGTTTTTCGCAAATTCAGCACGTTAGAAAAGTCGGAAATTTATTCATGAACACTTTCATTAACGTTTGACGGTCAGTTTCCCAGTTCATATTGCTGTATATTGGAGCTTACAAACTTATTACATTCTTGGGAGATGCGTGAAAGTTGTACTACTTGAATTTCTTTTAAGGCAGCCCGAAACTTTACGAATTTTACTTTGAAATTTCTAACGCTCTTCTTTTTGCAACAAGTTTCTTTTATCTGTTAAATAACCTTTCTTTATACATTGATAGTCGTATGTTTTATAAAATCCATGTTACTTTATACTATACATTATTATTTCGAGACAGCTTTCATAAAAGCAATCCATCTTAACCATGGTAGTAAGTGAGAGATCCATCTTATACAACTCGAAACTTTATTCTCCTCTTTTCACTTACTGCACAAAAAATATAATGTTTAATTTTAATTTTTATCAAAATTGCTTTATAATTTCAACTGACATCGATAGCCAAAATTATTTATCCAACTATCTTTCCATCGATCGACCGATGTGTCGATCAGACGACACGAAAGCCCCATTCGCACGGGAAATGGGAACGCGAAATGAGGATCCGCGAGGCTGGCACGACTACACGGATTTAGTTTTAGCCGGAAACGTCGGTGGATCGCGACGAAAGCATAACACGGTGTGCGACTCGACCGATCGGACACGAAATTAATCGTGCAACAAGGAAGTCCTCTTGCTTGTATATACGTATATATCGACGAAAAATCAATTAACCGAACCTTGAAGATTATGAAAAATCGTTTCGTAGCCGGTTCACGTGGAGGTATCTGTACGTAATCGCGAGGTTCAGTCACGCCTACGGTTTCATCGTTGTAAACAACCTCGAATCGAAGAAGAGAAAGAGAACGAGAAGGCGGTAGAAATCGAGGCGTATCAAGGGTCGCGTGACTTTTTAATCGACGAAGGAATTTCTTTGTGCGAACGAACACGTCGGATAGTTTGCGGAGCGTTGAAAAGACTCGAGGCACGGGTCACCGAAAATCACGAGCTTTGACACTCGCGAAAAGTACGATGTGCGCTCATACGCGAATTAAACGAACGAGAACGGGTGAAAAAAATTCGTCGCTTTGAGAAACACGAACGCTCGTTGAATCGGTGTAAGATCATTATTGTCGGAATGGAGTTTTCTCTGCGATTATCACGTTTTTACTATCCGTGGTTTTACATAAAATGATTAAGCCAA